CCCCCTCTCCTCCTTTCCAGTAGCCCCGCCCCCTTTCCTGGCCGTTCCACGCTGTTGGGCCCGTCACTTCAAATGGTCCCTCCCCCTCCCCAATGACCACGCCCATCACCATAGCCCCGCCTTCCTTTTCAATAGCCCCTCCTCCTTTCATAGCCCCGCCTCCTTTCCCGGCCGTTCCACGCCATTGGCCCCGTCACTTCAAATGGCCCCTCCCCCTCTGTGACACGCCCCCTTTCCCTGAAGCCACGCCCCTCCGCTGGCCCCGCCTTCCCAGCCTAGTCCATCCTCCTGGGTTGCACCACGCAGGTGCCCACCTGCCCTGCGCCCCCACCTGCCGCCTTCACAAAGGGGCGCTGGGCTGGAGATGGGGTCCGGCAGCCGCCAGGAATGCCAACCATCCTCTTCTCCCTGCTGCCCCTCATTGTCTGTCTCCTGGCCCCGTCTCACCCCCTCCCCCCGGATCTTGGGGGGTCCTGGTGTGCAGGGAGGGGCCTCTTTGCTCCGCCCACACGCGGGGTGAGCGGGGTCTGGAGGCGGTGGGCCGGGTTCCTCCTGTCTCCCCCACATTTCTCTGCTCCCCGGGAAGGCCCCCTTCCTCGCGGCCTCCTGGGGGCCCCCTGCCTCTCTGTGGGCGCCGTCTAACTAGTGTTCCCGCTTTCTCTGCTGCCCTTCGCGTATCTTCCTTCCTCCTCTAACTCGGTCTCCTTCTTCCTGTCCACCCCTGGGCGCCCCCAGCCCTGCACACCGCGCAGGATGGAGACCTGCGCCCGCCTCTGCCCCCTCGAGGCCCCGTCGGGGGAGGGAGAGACAGTAGCGGGGGTCAACACCCCCCAAACCTTGAAGTCTTCCATTTTTCTGGTACCTACTTACCCCCCCACCCCCAGCCCCCTCCATCAATGAAGTTCCCCTTCCCATCTCAGACCCCAAACTCTGGCCTCTTACAAGGGTCCGTCCTCCCCCTTGGACAGATTTGGGGGGGTGTCCCAGAAATTCGTCCACCCCCCCTTATTAGGGGAGGAGGGGCGAGGTAGCACAGTGTTGTACACGGAAGCAGAAAGGCCCCCGGGGTGGGGTGGGGGGAGGCCGGGGAGGGAAGGGGCTTT